AACTTGTATACTCCGCACTTGTTAATACTTGGGCCGGATCTCGTTCCTATATTTCAAATCATGGGCCGAATGTAGTTTATAGCTTGGGTTGGGCTGATTGGATTAATGTTAATGGATGATTTTGATTACTTTATTTGGAATAAATAAAGTGGAAACTAATATTGGATAATTTTAAATGATTAGTCATATTAATAAAATTTGAATAAAAGTATAACGGGGGAATCAGTTAAATTATTAAAGAAGAGTAAGTGACTAATTTATCATATTTAATTAAAAAGGTGATTATCTAGAGACCGGATTAGAGGAGGATAACTAGGAGCAACAGGACTTAAGGTAAGTTTCTCTGCCAATCCAAAATTGTTTCCTCGTATTATATGCTTATTATGCATTATGTGATTAAGTATGAATTGTGAATTTTGTGTATGTGATTTTGAGAAGATATTATATATGGTAGTTAAGAAGTATAAATCAAGTACTTTTGGGGTATTAAATATTTTTAAATACCTTTGAGACTTTTTAGAGGAATTAAGAAGTATTTTTGAAGTATTATTAAGCGAAGATAAAATTTACATTTTCATAAGAAGATAGCATCTCGGGAGTAATCCGAGGTGTCGGTTTTTCCACATCCGGATAAATGTGGAGGGTGATTAGAGCTACTACTACTAAGAAGTACAGTTTGGATCTATGATCCCTTTTAAGCAAGATTCGGATCTATGATCCCTTTTAAGCAAGATTTGGATCTATGATCCCTTTTAAGTAAGATTTGGATCTATGATCCCTTTTAAGTAAGATTTGGATCTATGATCCCTTTTAAGAAGAAGTTATAGTAGTAGTCCCTAATCATTCAAGAATTTTAGAATTGGGGTGGTTGGGTTCCGACCACTCGGGATGACTTACTACTCGGAGGGCTTGGAATCCCTTTTAGGGGGTGTGCACACTTAAGGTAGTCGTTTCGTTTCCAACATAGCAGTTGTGGTACCGACACTTGTTCGGGGTGGCCGTCCGTAACCACGGTCCACCGGGCTCTACCGAAAGGTTAAGCACCGCCCTTCTAAATTACTAGGAAGTTAGAGAAGAAATGATTTTTTTTAAGAAGTTTAAAAAGAAGAGTTACTAAGAGATTTTCCAAGAGAAGTTTCAGATTTTAGCAAAAAAGTGATTTTAAGAAAAATCAAAGAGAAAGATATTTTGGAAGAGTGCGTCATTTTTATATGATATTATATAAAAATCTATTTTTAGTCAAACCTGATTATTTTACGGGGTTGGGTAGTACTTACTTAGCTCTAAAGCTAATTTTTGTTATTTTTCTTGTCTCTCTCTTCTCCCTTAAATTTTATCAGGTGATGAGTTGGATACCTATGTGGATTGACGGATTGCTCGAGCTTGAGTGCGAATTAGAAGATGCCTTAGTTAAATCTAGTCATAAAACAAACATTTACTTATTATTACATTAGTTTTTATTGTTTTACTTTGAGTTGCCTGTGCATTCGGTTAAGAGATGACCGAATGTGGCGGTAACACTCATTTCCCTTTTAGACTTCCGCTGTATTTCTTCAACTCTTTGATGAATGAATAAAGTATTTCTTTTAAATATATCAATGTTTTGGGCGGGAAATTTAGGGGTGTTACATCCAGCGTTTCCCCATCTTCTTTTCTTCGCCTCCTCGGCGTCCCTCAACTTCCTCTCGTTCCATTGGGCTTCCCCAAGGAGCCCCTGATCAACGATTTGGCTAAATGTCATACTGTGATGGTAAGTAGCCCGGTCACGGATGTCCAACTGTAGAGCATCCCAAAAGTGATTGGCCATACGATTTTCATCCAATGAGTATTCTGGGATGAATCGTGCCAAGTCACGGAACCTTTGTTCCAATTGCCTCATCGAGCAACCATCCTCCTGTTTCAGGTTCGTGTACTCTCTCCTTTTGAGATTGACTTCAAAAGTTGAGTAGTACTGATTATAGAACTCCACTTCGAATTTCTCCCAAGTGGCCTCACCGTGGAACTTTCCCTCCACGCCTTCCCACCATACAGCAGCTACCCCCTCTAGTAGCCTGGTGGCAACTCTCAACTTCACGTCGAGTGCAATTTGCATGTCCCTAGAAGCATCATTTAGCTTCTTAATCCAGTCGGCGGCCTCAGATATGTCGCCCTTGCCGTCAAATGATTTGCACCCCAAGGCCCTGGCCTCCTTGAGGTACTTGGAGATACGCACCATCGTGTCTCCTCCAAATGTTCCAGATGGAGCACTAGAAGCTCCCCGGCTTCCTTGTCCCATGGCCTGCCTAGCCTGTCTAGCTTGGCGCCGCTGTTCTCTCTTTGCCTTATTCTCGAGGTACCATTCTAGTACCTCACTCATACGGTCATAATGAGGATCATCATCCTCATCTTCTTCCTCAAAGTCCTCCCCGTTGTACGGGGTCTCCTCTTGCTCCGTGCTTGGAGCATAGGTGAAGTCGTCCGGTTCGGTGGCCCTTGACGGGTGCACGGAACCGACGCGTGTGCTACTTGTCGTCGGCGTGGTAGAACGCCCACGACCCCTGCCTCGGCCTCCTCCTCGGCTTTGGCCCCGGCCTCTACCCCTAGAGGTCCGTGATTCCGCCCGAGTGGCATGCCCGGTGGCCCCCGGCACATGCCCTGTTGGGTTCCTCCTAGTTATCCTGCATCCACCCTCCATTTCTGAAAGAAATAAGGAATGAGTCATTAGACTCGTTTCAATGTCAATTGACGGAGTAGTACAAAAGACACCACTTGGTCCAACATTATGGCCAACAAACTGTTAAGGGTACCGTCTTAACAATAAGAGGTCAATAACTTGGTTTCCAACGGTTCCTTAAGTACAAAAACTTTTGCTCATGGTTTTATTCAAAACTTTTTTTGAGGATAACCATATTGAGAGGTTAATTATATAGTTTAGAAATCGATGGCTCTGATACCACTTAATTGTCACGCCCCGGACCGCGTCCGAGCCACGTAGACAACCGCCGTACAACCCGATAAGAACAACAACAGTTCATCCCCATTGAGTTGTACAAGGCATCCGATTGATTCTATTGCCAAACCGATTAGTAAACACATACAATCAACATCAATATCATAATCAAACAAATGCGGAAATAATAAAATGTTTGATACTTAGCCACACGTGGCAAACACGGGCACGCAGGCCCCCAACTGTTTTAATGAAAACATTGTTCAAAAATCCATGAGCGGTTTATACATTTGAAATAAGAATGGAAGCACGAACCACGTCTTCCTTCTCGATCAGTCACCCTAGGCAAAGGTGCAGGTAGTAGGACTCTAGCCTCAACCTGAAAAATGTGAGGGCCCCCGGAGGGGTCAGTACTCCATAGAAGTACTAGTGACAAGCAGGCTATATGAAGAATAACTAATGTTTCAGACACGAGACCCAAAAATAGGGTGATATATACATATAGATGTCCCTCATCCACCCGATGATACATACTGTATATATACTCGTAAAATACTCAACCCGTAGGTCATTTACCTTAAAGAGTCTTTTAGAGATGAAGTTCTTACCTGACTTTTCTCACTCCTTTCCCGGTTACCTAGCTCACAAGCTATAGTCTACCTTCGATTCATACTACCGAGTGTTTTAGGATCATTTACCGTCCAAGGCACTCAACCCATCCTGGAGTATTTAAGATCATTTACCGTCCAAGGGTACTCGGCCCCACCTGGAGTATTCTGGATCATTTACCGTCCAAGGGTACTCGACCCCACCTGGAGTATTCTGGATCATTTACCGTCCAAGGGTACTCGACCCCACCTGGAGTATTCTGGATCATTTACCGTCCAAGGGTACTCGACCCCACCTGGAGTATTCTGGATCATTTACCGTCCAAGGGTACTCGACCCCACCTGGAGTATTCTGGATCATTTACCGTCCAAGGGCACTCAATCCCCAGTCTATTCTCTACCAAATCCTAACCTGGATATGGCTAACCTTTCATTCCTTTAACTATGGACAATGCCTAGCCCTATAGTCATATAACAATCCTTAGGATCCAACGTGGGCGGGTCCCACCCGAACGGCCCACGTTAACCTACTCAAAACTGCCCATTCTGAGCTTAACCCAATACCCGGTCGGGTATCCAACCTTACCCGGTCGGGTGGGGTGAGGCAGTAGCCCCTGGAGCCAACTTTACTTGAGACCCGGTCGGGTCTACACCCATACCCGGTCGGGTCTAGTGTGGCAGTGGCTTCTGGAGCCATTTTTAATCAAAACCCGGTCGGGTATTCACCCATACCCGGTCGGGTATCACCTTTGTCTTGGCGGTCAACGCTCGTTTGACCGCCCAAACGAAGTCCGATTAACGTGAAATTTTATACACTTATACTTCTTGACGTCCTTGATCCAAAAATACCATTTTGGATCCCTGGAACATCACACATAAGAAGTTATCACATTTTTGATCACCAAACCTACATAACATGCTTTTCAATTATGTTTTATGTATAATCATGGCATAAACACACACTTGGTTATCTTTAATCATTCCACAAAACATATTCCTGATTACTTTAGGTAATCTCATGCCTCACGCAAAAGTTATAAAGCATAAAGCCGTCTTCTCACCTTAATGAAGCTTATGAAGTTCTAGCCTTCCCGATTTAGCTTCGACGAAAACTCCGGCGAACTTCAACGAACTCCGGCGACAACTCCGGCGACCTTTTCAACTCCGTGAAAGTTCCTTGAATACCTTAGACAAGTTACTAACAAGGTTTTATCATCATAAAACCCATAGTAATATAAATAACCTTCAAAAGGTTATTTTCCGGCGAACCGGTCCTTTGGCTTCTAAGTCCGTTCTTGGACTTAGAACTACCTTCCAACCCCTCTTCCTACACATCCCAACGTGTAGAACAATCCTAGGGTGTGAAATATGATTGCATAATCATATAATATGATTAAAGAAAACGAAATGGGGTTAATGGAGTCCTTACCTTGCTAAACACAAGTTTTCCTCTCCAAAACAACCTTTTCTCTTCTCTTTTCCCCTCCTTCTTCCTCCTTTGTTCTTGGTGCGTGAAAGGATGAGGAAATGGAGTATTTTCAGAGTTTCTCTCCCTTCCTTGGATGATTGAACCGAGCATATGGGGTGAGGGGTGATTGAGGATGCCATTTTGGCATTTCTCACCAAATCATATGGCAAAGGTCCCACCCTCATATTGATTGGTCTCCCAATCACTTCCCCAGCCAATTCTCAGCTCCATGATGCGGCTCCCCTTGCTATTTTCCAGACCAAGGACGTGGGTTGGCCCCCACTCATGTGGGAGGTCAACCCTTTGTGTACCCGAGTGAAGAAATTAAGAAAAATTAAGGCTGGAGTTACCTTTTTTGGCTTTATCGGTTGAAGTTACTGTATAGAATCATTTTAGCTATTTTTACATATAATTTTTTCTTTATTTTATTAATAAAATATATTATAAATTTATTTTTTATAAATCAGCATAATCAGTCAATACATCCACTTAAGTCAGAACTTCATAAATTTCAACAGAATCACTCGCTTCAACCGATTTCAGTGTTACTAAATGGATAAAAGCGAGTTTTTTAGATTTTAACTTTTTATAACAAAAAAATTGGATTTTTTTTTTGTTATTGCAATTCGCAAACACCCTTAATAAAGTCTACTTCACCCGCACGGGTAGCTCAGTTAGTCGAGTGGTGGGAAAATTGAATCAAGTGACCAAAGTTCGAAACCCGCAACAGCCGTGTGGAGGTTACAAAACCCGAAATATGGCTGGACCTCTGATGCACACGTGTATTAGATCTACCACTACTTAGCTGACTGAGTCATCATGATTAACCTTCCCACTATCTTGTCGGGTCGGGGTGGGGACCTTGGGGTTGGACATTCAACCTTTTGAACCAAATAAAATCTACTCCACCATAATTACATGTAATAGCCGACCTAAGAAATAGCTAAATAATTCGCTGAAATTAGGCCCCATTCTTTGCACGCCGCCGTGATAATGTAAGTTTGACCGCAGATCCCAACGCTGCTGCCTGCTGGTTGATAAAAAAGGGAATTGATAATTGTAATGTTGTGAATGTGAATTTGTTGAACTTAGATTTAAAAAGGGAAAATGTCAATTAAGTCAACACACTTTTAAATGAAGCAATCAAGTCTATGCACTCTTAAAAAATAGCCAATTTGGTTTTTTTACCGGTAACGAGCTGGTAACCTACCTACTGAAGTCTACTTGGCATTCTTTTTGTTGTTTTCTATATTCAGTTTATTTTTTATTTTTGTTGTTCCTTTTATCATTCTTCCTTTTATCTGTACGTCGTTGACTGACCTTTTCTTTCCCTTGTTGCAGAATCCCCTAAATAGGAGTAAAAAAGTTTTGAAATTCAAAAATAGGACTATCATGTTTTTATTTCTTAAATATAAGTAATTTTTTGCCAAGTTTGGCATTACTAGGCTTTAAAACATGACATTTTTTTCAAACTTGACAGATTACTCCTATTCAGGGAATAAAAAACATGATACTCCTATTTTGGAATTCAAAAACGTTTTTGCTCCTATTTAGAACAATTTCTATGCGCACTATGACATACTATGCCGCCATGAACGGTGAACCTGCATAGTACGGCCTGCCATGATTCAACCCCCGAGCACCCACCGACATTGTCGCGAAACCACCAAACAACCCAAAGCCCAGCAACAACGCTGAGCAAATCAAGAACTCCCTACATCGCCGAACAAATCAAGAACCTCTGCTGCTATACAACGTCTCCCATAACCCCTGCAGTGGCTCCCCAAATCCATGCAACTGTAGATTGAAGAGAGGATTTACATTAGATCTAGGAGGGTTGGCCCAATCCTCGCTGGAATAAAACTAATGGGCAACGACTAGGTAAGTGTCCGTCACCGTCGCCGGACGAATGGAGTAGAAGAGGCCGCTGGCGAAAGAGCTAGAAGGAAAGGAGAAGGATTTTGCCAGAGTTACAAGGGAGAAATTAAGAAAGGGAACTGATGGATGGCTGCAAACCCAGGAAGAAGAAGTGTGTGGAAGAAAGAGAGAAAAAAAAGGAAAAAGGAAAAGAAAATAAAAATTATTGCCACATGTACATCCATAAGCATTAACCGGTAATAGATATACTCAACCAGGTAGAAAGCTAAATTGGAGTTTTTATAAAAGTTCAAAGACTTCCTTAACTCAATAAAAAGTGCAAGTACTCAATTGATTTTTTGACAATAGTACATGTACCAATTTGACAGTTTTCCCATTAAAAAAGGATGATACCTCATTCTTGTCAATTAATTGAAACTAAATAGATTAGACTTTAATCATATGTTGATAGATATTGAGCGTAGCTCTGATCAGATACTTGCAGAGACTATTGAACTTGATTGAATTACGGCGTATATTTGAAGCAATTGATTATCTTGAATTTGATAAGATTTTATGAAATGGTTGAATTTATTGAATTATAAATAAATTATATTTAAAATATGTTTACGAAAACATATAAAAATCGTTGTCTGTAGGAAGTTCAGTCAATTTGATTTGAAAATAACTTCATTTTTACGTACTTATTTTGATTATTATACAATCAAGCAGGCGATATTGTAAGCCACGTGTCACGTAAAAAAAATGACTAATCGGATAGTTAAGTTGAAACATGGCCACCGGACGGGCTTGGCCAAATCACCAAATTGGTAAAACGGGGTGATATACCAAATCAGTAAAAAAAACTCCGACAACACATTGTAAAAAGGACTCCAGACGACATATTGGTAAAAAGCTCCGATGGTAAATTGGTCAATTTTTGTGAGCAAAACATTTTTAGTTCTCGACTTTAGAATATCCCACATTTGATTCAATTCTCCAAGTATTGTGAAATTGATATTTTTATCTCCCAATTATTTGTTTTAGAAAAAGTTTTAAACTTATACTTGTACAAGGTATTTACTTTTATTTTACATAACTACTACCACTATATATCATTTTTGACATATATGCGTTTACACAAGCACGTGCATATAAGTTCATTTATTGTTTTTTTTATCATAAGTTCATTTATTGTTAGTATTTATATTTTAAATACAATTAAACTATTTAATTAGTTTTTTCAAAAAATACTACTCGGTAAAAGTTAGTATTTTATGTTCCTCTCTCTAAAAGTGAGAGCTTCTCTCTCTAGGGTGTGTTTCCGTCGCTAGGCTTTTTTCCTCGGTTGTCGTTTGTAACGAGGAGCGGCCGTCGCAAGCGGGCTTAGGCGTACACGGTTTCTTCTTCTGCCATCAATTGTGTGGCGATTTTTCTTTTTTTGCTTTGGCGAGATTAAGCGGAGGGAAGAGCAGGAGCGTAGCTAGGAGTAAGAGTTGGGCTGGGCTGGTACAAAGATTTTTTACACATAAATTTTTACACATAAATTTTTACATTAAATATATAAGCAATTTTAAAATTTGGGTTGGACCGGGGCCCAGTTGGCCACCCCCCCACCTCTGCCCCTGGGGAAGAGGATGCTTGGTCTCCAGCGACCGAAGGTTGTGCAGGGACGGAAGACAGATGCTTGGTCGTCGTGGACGAAGTGTGGGGCTAGAGGCTGGAATAAACCTGGATTCGAAGTCATTCGTGATAGGTGGTGGCAGAGGAGGCTTGGTAGAGAACATGATGGACAAGAGGCAAGACGAGGAAGCGGCTACAGTATTGCTGGATCTTCCCCCTCCTAAACCACCGCCATGGAATGCAAGAGAGTTTAGGGTTTGGAAGCATCATTTTAATTTTACTGTTTATTTGCTATTTATTTTTCATGATCTTTGTTTTTCTGTTGGTTACTTTTATTGTTGTAAGACTCTTGCATTAGGATTGAGTGATGAGAGGCCTGCTTTAACCGTCATTGGCTCATTCGCCCCATTATAGGATCAACGAGTCATATGTCTGGTTCGAGGGCTGGTGGTTGCTTGTGGTCCTTTTGTCGTTTTACCCCATATCTGAATGTTGCGATATCAATTTAAGTCATCTGTTTTTGACGATAAAAAAATACTACTTCGTATTAAAGTAGCAAAAAACTCTGGCGATAAATTGGTCAATTTTTTGTGAGCAAAGCACCTTTAGTTCTTCACTTTAGAATTTTCCATATTTTTCGGAAGAAAGGTAATTAATTGCTATTAATCAAATCATAATTCAGTACATCATCAATAAAATGAGGAGGACTGAATACCCAATACTGACAATCAGACATAGAACTCGCTGCCCTTGCCATCGCATGAGCGGCTCGATTCGCAGATCGTCTAACATGAGAAAAGGACACCCTCTCAAAACTTGTCTTCAATTCTCTAATATCATCAGCTAAAAGACCAGAATATGATAAACTGTTCCCATTTTGAATTTCTCGAATCGTGAAATTCTTGTTTTTATTCCCTCAAGTATTGTGAAATCTTTTGTTTTTTAATAACTTTTAGGCAAAGTTTTAAAATTATATGGAGTATTAACTTTTATTTTATATAACTACTATCACTATATGTCATTTTTGACACATACACACACATTAGCGCACACATATAAATTCATTTATTTTTAGTGTTTATATTTAACATACTACTCCCTATCAAAGTAGCAAAAATATTCATAATGATACAAAACAAAAATATCCGTAGTGATTTTAAAAACCAGTAAACAGCCATATTCAAAATATTAAAACAAAAAAAAAAGAATTTAAATATGTGTAATCACGTAAGTGTACATATATTAAAACTAATAGTTGTAGTAGTTATACAAAATAAAAGTATATAATATATTTAAAACTTTTTCCAAAACATATTAAAAATAAAATAAATAAAGTTAAGTTAATTAAATATGCTTTTGAATTTATATCTCAAATGGTTATTTTACGTATTAAGATCTATGGAGTATTACTTTCGTCCCTCTGAGACCGGGACAAGAGAAAATGATGCCACTATTAAGAAAATTTGAATTGTATAGTTGTTATTGAATTGATAAAGTGTAAATAAAGTAAAGATTTTACACCTTTCGAATATTGTCAAATATGATATGTGATAATCTTTGTGAGACATAATGAAAAGCTAAAATGAGAGAGATAGGGGACGAAGTGAGTAATTTCAAACAACTAATCTATCAAACATTTTAACTTCCAACCGCTAACAGAAACCGCTAGTATTTTACTTCATAGTAAAAGGACCAAAATTGTTAATTTCACAATAGTTAAGTGATTAAATATAA